ATCCTCACTGATCATTGATAGTGTTCAAAACAGGGAGCTCTTTAGCATATTAAAGACGCACAAAATTAAAGACTAAAGATGAGTAGTCATGTAATTATGAGCATGAATACGTCTCATGTAGACAATTTTGACAGCCAACTAAGCCGTCATTATAGCATCACATTTCTGAAGAAAAAAAATCAACAAAAAAGTGCACTGGGCAGCTAATGAAAACTCAGCATTAAAATACAGTTTGTAATGGATGAAACTGAAACGTACAGATATTTAGACAATTATTTAAAAATATATATCAGGTACAATCTAGCATTCAAAACATTCAAGGCATAGACAAGTAAAGACAACCATGTGATAGACAACGTGCCCTACATTCCAGAGTCCAGACACACAGCATGACTAAACGAAAGAGGGAATAAGCATTACGTTCCTCATCAAATATGCACCAAATCAACAAAACCATCGACACACAGAAGCCCAGACAAAATCTGTCATTGATCTTGAAAGTTCAACCTTTGCAACCTTTTTTTTTTTTTACTGTCTGCTAAATCATGCTGGAGTTGAAATGTTTCAACATTAAAACCTTCAATTTTGAGCAGACAAAACAATGCAGCTGAAAACTACCAAATAGCTGCTCCAATTCATAACCAGGTAACAGACAAACGATGACTTGAAAAACATTAAACAAGCAGCTATAAAGTGTGATGAATCATTAGCTTAATACAGATTAAATGGTGGTAAAAATTAAAATGATATTTCAGAATAGTGAAACGATATAAATCTTTACTTTAAATAAGGCAAATATAAACTGGCTGACAATGAACATCATTCCACCAATTCAGTCATTCAATTAAAAAACCATCCATCTATCCCTTAAATATTCAATAAATTTCAGATTTGTTGATTAGTCACCTAAATAATCAATAATAATCAAATCGAGCCCCACGATCATGCAAGATTATTCTTTTAAAATCATTCCCTAATAAAGTTCCTCACAAAACTGGTTACCTCTTCTGTCAATGTTCCACCGTTTCAGTAAAGAACCTAAAGATAATAAAGAGAGAATTAATCACTCTGATTACAGAATGCTTAGCACCATAAAGTTGCATAGTTACACAATTAAGCGAGTTAATATGAAATGTAATATTTAAACAGCCAAGTCATAAGAGCCTTTAAGAACCTTGAATGTTTTTCAAACCCTCTGGTTCTCTGGTTTGTTTCATAGTTTTTTTCTTTCCATCTGAAATATGGGTTGACCGCGCATAAGTTGTCAATCATACATAAAAATGGTTCACTCTTCAAATTTAGCGCTGCTACATGCGGATTCATAATTATGCATGAGTAGGCCAAAATGAGCAGAGACGTAAGCAGCTCTTCACTGTAATTAGTCTACCCATGCTGGGAGGTTTATTAATATTTTAACTACAGTTGTCGCCTCAAAAAGACAGCATCGCTGGAGGCTTTCTCCCTGTGATGAGTACAGGTCAATCAAGGCAAAAGAAACGCCTACGATGGATCAGAGAACGTACCAAACTCTCTTCACATGGGGAAGTGAGGCTCTCATCATTGCCAGTGATCATTTAAAGGCTCCTTTGGCAACAGCATAATCAAAGCCAAACTCCTACAGACCGAGCCCCACGGTGCTGCATATTAAAGGACAGCAGATGTACATTTCACAGAACATGAACGCTGCAGTTCCATCGATCGCAAAACTTAAAATCACCATTGATTCGTGGGGGATTTTCGGTAATCGTGGCCCAGGGGATATTGGGCAGTTTCCAATTTGACATGACATGAAGGCTTTTCAAACACATATTGAATGACAGAGGCCTACTCAGTCCACAGGCCTACCAGCTATTCACTTCAGCGGGGGGGGGGGGGGGAACACTCATTAAAAAGCCCAGATGAACCGTTTCACGTGTGAGACTAAAAGGAAGAGATTGCTGCTGCACTTCCTCCTGTGGTGAAACGGCACTTCTAGCCCCTGCCAGAAGCCACAAATATAATACATTCTGTTTAAAATATTAAGAGTGGACAGGGGACAATTAATCTTTTTATATCTGCACACTGTTGGTCAAAAAGACCGATCGATCAGACCCGCTGAGGTTCTGCATTACAGAAAGTTGGAAATGGGTAAGCAGGACAAATACTGCAAGGAACACTGAAAACCGGTGCAGAAAAATCAGGAAAATGCCACCACAAATAGACCCAAAGAAACTGGTCGGCTGGATTGCGTCTGCGGAAAAGTCTGTTATCTAGATATGGACTCTGGCAGGACAACTTCAGCTGTTGTGGCAACACTGACTCATGGTCATGATGGGCTGAACACAGCCAAGGCAAAGATAAACTGGGGGGGTGGGGGGGTGATGCAGTTAGCCATGCTAATGTGGTACTAGGAAACCGTAAACACACACACCCAACTACACGAGTCACATCAGCCACAAAGGAGGCGGAAGTGAAAGGGACGAAGGAGCATGACGGTGCAGACACGCACGAGGCCTGCCAACAGCGCCATGACCAGCGGAACAGAGCCTTTGGACACAGCAGGGAGAGGCCTGCCTTTGGCCACAAAAAACATCCTGGGAGGGACCCAAAGAAGCTCAATCGGCTCACGAACGACAGCCCAGGCACAACATTCAGAAACACCTCAGTCAGGGACAAACCACTGCAGGAAGAACGGCTTTTGTTCTGAAAGACGAGGCCACTTCCGAGGGCCGGGAAGCAGCCCTGCACAACAAGCAAGCCGCCGTCTGGAGATAGCAAAAACATCACCTCCCGTTTGAGGACACACACCCCTCACATGAAAACCTCACAAATCCACACACTTAGAAAACAAAAGTCATTTTATATGAGCACTGGGTGCCAGGAATCCTTTTCTCCCTTTGAGACTTTCGATAAATATTTTATAATGCACCTTCACGTATTGTCTAACAGTTCAGCTACGCTAAGCAAGATGCGGCCCCACGGAGGCTCTTCCCCTTAGTTTTGGTAATTTGACTCCCATCTACCCCTCTTTTCGGCATAATACTCAAGAAGAAAAAAAACCCTCATCCTATTACAACAGACTGCAGAAACAAAATGTCTAAAATGCACTCCTTCAGAAGGAGGAAGGAAAGTGGAAGCAGAGACAGAGCCTCCGAGGTACCGCCACTCAGCCGGCCGGCCCCTCCCTGCCGCTCCCCTTAAATGCAGTGTCATCTCCGGCCTTATCACCAGTTTATTTCATAACGCAGTTATTTTACATCAATCCCACCTTTTAAATGTACTTCTGATTCCTGGCAGGTGAGAAAATTTTAAAATAACCCCCAAATTACGTCGTATTTACGCTACATTAGGCGATGTGCCCATACAAAGAAGGTCCATCTTTTGGTGACAAGTCGCCATTTATATGACAACGCACGTAGAAACTCGTCCAAATGGTGTAAAAGGCGGACATTTCGGGGCATGTCGATACACTGCTTTTTGTACTATTCAGGATCCATATGCTTTAAGAATCCAGGCGCCTATAGCACGGCTCGCCAGGTCCCGGCAATCACGCTGTCAGGGTGGGAGGATGGAGGTGCGGATAGAGGCTGAAATGCAATCCTGCCTCGTTCTCCCCCCGCCAGCGCGACAACAAAGCCCCGGCACTCCCTAAAAGCCTAGACACAGCTGGGAGGCACTTTCGTGTGCGTTACGCAAAAGCAGCCACAGGGCCAACCTGGTTAAAATGTCTTTCGGAGAACCAAAACTCCTTTGTCCCGATGTTTATCTGGCCGTGACTGGGCATTTTCCCCCCCAGCCCCACTTCCGAAGCGCCTCACGCCCAGCCGCAGCGCCTCCCCCGCACGCCCAGGGCTGGGGGGACAGGTGGGCCGCGGCCGTGCTCATCCATCCCTCTCCCCAGGTACTCTGGTTACCAGCGCCAGCCATCTGCGTCTGACCGGGTTAACCAGGCCAGCTAAATGAAACGGGATGGAGCGGAAGGAGGGCAGCGACCCGGAGCGGTCTGGGGAGCGCAGGACCCCGGCATGCTAGCGCATCGCTCCATACAAGCCAATCGGAGCCATTGTTCCAGAAACTTCCTCCAAACGTCGCCAATCCCCAGCACTCGATTAATATAAAATGTTTTTTTTGTTTTTTTTTTTTTTTTTACTAATTAGATGAGGAACTGTGATTAGTTTGACGAATCCCGGGGGACACACCAGGTTAATGCCGAGTCTTACTTACCGGAAGATGGCGAAGGCGACGGGGGCTTCTTCGCAGGGATCACCGGCGCCGCCTCGGGCACCTGCGGTTTAGGCGGCGTGTCCGCAGCTTCTCCGGCTGCGGGCATCCGCTTCACCCCGGCATCTCCGAAGAGGGATCCAGCGTCCATGGATGCCGGCGGCGTCGGAGACGGGTCGGCGGCTTTCTGAGGCTGCCCGAACGGCGTGGAGCCATAGTCATGCGTGGCGGCTCTATGTCTTTCCAGGGCTTCCTTCGCGCCCCCGGCCAGGTCTAAGATATCGTCATCCTCCTTGGCCACAGCTTCATTGTCGTGAAACTGAGTATCAGCCGGGCGGGAGTCCGTCAGCCAGTCTTCGCCAAAGCCCGACTCGAAAGGTGTCGTGGAGGATATCTGGTCGCCGTCTTCCATCTTTACAAGTTGGGGATTTTTCCCTTTCAAGCGGAGCTGACTGCTTGTATGATCTTTAAACACCCCTGACCCCCCACAATCTAGTACCAGCAAGCAGTTTGTTTTTAGAGCTGTATTTTTCACTTTATTTAATCAAGCCCGAATGAAATTGCACAAGTGCGCCACGATGCCTCGTTACAGCAGAGCCCTGCTGCTCAGGAGATTCGCGAACAGTAACGCGCCACCACTGCAGAATATTGAAATAGAGGAGACAGCTCGGTGGCCAATTACACTCAATCGCCGCTGACTGATGTCACGGCTGACCAATGAATGTTTGAGAAGCTCTCTCACAGACCCGCCCCGCCCATTTAGGGAGGCATGAGCACGTCTGGCGTGAGCGCCGCGCCCCTCTTGTCTCTTGGGCGAAGCGCAGGTTGTGTCGCCGTTCTGGAGCAGCAGATAAGTGGAATTGTGTGCAACAGCGGATAAAACGACGACACAGTGACTATGACTCTTATCCCCATATGCTAAATGAGATTTGCTCGATGGGTATCACGCGTGAGGATTGTTTGATGGGGTGCCCCTATCTTTGTAATAATGTGAAAGTGTCATCCTAGTTCAATAGCAAAACAAGGTACACAGATCGGATGAAAATATTTACTAGTTAATTGTACACCAAAGTTCTAATGATAAAAGGTAATACTGAGCCTTCTTTTTTGGATGTCTTACTATTTAGCTCAACTGTCTTATAAATTAAGAACTGGGGCAAAGGTCGAGCTGCTGACACGCCCTTAAGATTATTTGAAACTTTCCGTCAAAGTGTCCATATCTGAATAATTAAATGATTATCAAAGAAAGCGAGTTCGATCAAGCATTAAAAAGTGAACGAGCGACAAATTCTATACTACGGGTAGGAAATATATCGGCAGAAGACTGTACAAAGTGTATGTTTGTACATGTTAAAGTTTCATAATCGCATCACTTCTCATCGCTTCTTTATTTTTATCTAAATGTCATGACTTAGTAACTCATGTGTTGCAAATTAAACTTTCGACCCGCTGAACTTAGATTAACTTGCACTCCTGGAAGAAGCTACATTGTTCTATACAAACGTAGTAAAAATACTTTGTAAGGTATCATTAAGATATTTAGTAACAGATTACACGAGAGGGGATAAGTTACTTATTAACTCAATTACTACTCAAGTACAAATAGTAACCGCTTGAAGTACATGAATCGTTATTATTGATTAATGAACATTAGATCAGTACATAACTGACATTTAGTTTCTTGGTGATTAATACATTAAGAGTATAGTATTACATTGTTTGTGCTCCCTCAAGTGTTACCAAATATTTTTAATAGACTATGCTTTGTGAGTTGTTTTTATTTAATTCCAATTAAATTTATTTCTACGAAGAGCAGCATAGTTGTCCCAGTGCTCTGCACACAAGCACACATATTTAATTTGGCTTCATTCGTCCACACAAAACCACAGCAATATCAAAGTCTCTTCAACTCCCCTGCCAATGGTGTTGTCTTGCAAATAATAAGGTACGGTATGACTGCTAGCTGGAAATACACATTTAAGTGTGCTGTCTGTCTACACGTGCTCCTGTTTTATTGAAGCTCTCTGTGGTTATTTCTCATGAATGCCAAATTTGATGCTGTCCTGTGCTTATCCAGGACCAGAGATCCCTACAAAAATGTGCATAGAAAAACAGTTAATACATGGAGGCCTATATGTTCTTGGATGTAAGCATTTAAATTCTGCAATACTACATTTCATGATACAGTGTTCGTTTTACATGTGTGGGTTACTAATCCTTTCCTTGCTGTGGCGTAACCTCCTCCGTCTTCCTCGTTACTGGTTTGTGCATAAAGTTTCCCCTACAAAGTGCTTGGATTGAAAATTTCTTCCGAAGCCGTCTTGGCTGGCTGAACAGAGACGGCCTCAGGTTACCGCTGCGGCTGCCGGCACGGTATCAGGCGGTCTCTATCCGGAAAGAGGAAATGGGTAAAGTATTTCGGGGGATTTTGGATTGCCGGAGCAGGGAACCTGCATTCACTCTTTAGCATTTTTCATATTTACCAGTATGGTTTCCATGGCATTGATTTTAATGCACACTTTGGTAGCCTGGTCTCACTTACCAGCCACTTACACGCAGTAACCAGTCCTGTGGCACATCGTGATGATCAGTCTGTCAGTGCCTTGGCTCGCCGGTTCATGTAAAAGCCTCATATCTCACCAATTGCTGACTTCAAGCCTGACAGGGTTCCCACTTATCTTTAAATGTTTTGGGAGAATGGTCAGTTACATTCAGTCACATTGTTGCACCCAGTTAATCCTTAGGTGTCGGTATACAATTCAGTCAGTAACTATGTGTCCATTTAGCATGACGTTTCTAATCGATTCAAAGCAGAAAGCAGTCATCAAACGCTGGATTTCATAGTTAGATCATCAGTTATTTTGTACCTCAGAAGGATTGTCCAGTAAGAGAGAACAGCATCATTCAGCCCTGGCTGATCATCATTCCCTATTAGACTCTCAGTTCCTGTCAATTTTTTTTCCCTCAAATGACAAAGCTTAGGTTCCTATGAAGAATGGAGATTAATTTAAGGGAGGCACGGGCACGGACATGGACCCGGGGCACAATGGGAGCGTTTTCACATCGATTGTTCATTCATTTCAGAGCTTTCGACAATGTAATTGCAAGCTGGAACTGGAGGAGGGGGCGGGAGAGGGAACATCCCGCAGCAAAAAGTCCGGGAAGCATCACTTTTTCTTTGGATTGCGTCAGAATGGAAATTATTTTTTTGCTTTAGAGTGTGAGGCATGTAATGAGTGTAATTCCCAGCTGATGAAAGTGGAGGAAAAGGGATTCCGCATTCAGCCTCGAGTCACGTCATGCGGCAAAAACCGGCCAAATGTTCTATAAATCGCAGCTTAAAAACACAGCGCTTTTCTTAGCACGTGACTGTTTACCAGGTATCATGTGCAATTCTGCGTTTAGAAACAGCGTACGCTGCCGTTCTCATATGTGACATTCTCACTTTAAAATAAAAGGCTTGTGTCTGTTAATGTAAGATGCTGTTGTTGTTCCTATTTGGTGACTTTACTGACTTCTGATTCGTTACCCAGGCTGCCATCAGGTCACACCTTTCTGAGCAACACCAATAGGAAGAGAGCTGCAGCTCCCATGTGACGCGGCTCCTAATCCCAGGCTGAGTATATGTGCTTGCTTCCCTCCTGGTCCCCAGTCCCTCTTCTGCGCACAAGGAATGCCTGGACGCTGTTGACTTCAGAACTGGAGACATGCACATGTATGCCTACAGTGAAGGCACAGGCCATACATGCTATATGAATAAAAATCAATGCCATAGTGCATAGATCAGTTGCTACGCGACGGTTGCCATAACAGCAGCAGGACGGGTGTCCGGGTGATACACAGAGAGAAGTTGCTGTCCCGCCTGGGACGGGAATACCGTGTAAAAGTAGCACATGAAGAGATCAGCAGCCAAAGTGTCAGCTGAGTCTAGTGGAATTAGTCTCTGTCATCATGACTTATTTTTATTGTCGGTTCCTTCTGTGGCTTTTAATTCTAAGAATGGTAAAAAATAAAAAAATAAAAAATCTGAGGGGTAAAAATAAAAATGAAAACAAATACTAATCCCTAGTCACTGAAGACCAAAAGGATTGGAAAACCGGAGGGTGATTACATGACTTTCTAAATGCTGATTTAAGTGTCACCCAGCAAGCTCGAAAGCCCAGTGACTGATGACACAAGAGGAAAATTAGTGCCCCAGTGCCACAGCCGAGAGACGAGTCACACTCCTCGGGTCACGAGCCATCGGCCGGCATGTGCGGAATGGCTCCTCTTGCTGGTGGGGGAAGGGGAGTCTCCAGAGCTGCCAGGGGGGCTCAGGGGGGCTCAGGGGTGCCGATCAATAACCTGCAGCACTGAAAGGAGGACAGGTCTCGCCATCTGGCACGGGGGGGGGTCTCACCCACAGGCTTGCGCAGCAGTTTCCTGTGAACAGGCGGTATTATGCAAAACGGTGACTGCGATTCTGCAGTCTGAAGTAAGGTTAAAGGTTTATATTGACAAGACGCTCACTGTGAGATGACTATACCCGATGTGGTAGTGCCAGTTTGCCTGGGAAATGCGGAGGTTTGCCGCCAACCTTTATGTGGAATCATCGTCTCGGACGTGCTCTGGCTACGCTGAAGCAAACAAACAAGCGAGAGCACAGATGCCAACACTGAGATATCGGGAGCAGCCTGAACAAGGTAATTTGCTTTGGAGCTCCGTAATACGCACACTGGTCAAACCATATGCCTGCCATTCATCACATTACATTTACATATTTAGTAATGTCCCAAAGCGACGTGCAAGCAAGGCAAGTAGCACATTGCAAACATTCATGCTGTCAAATGGTGCTTTTCCACTGCCACCAAGAACCGAGTCGTACTGCAAACTATTTCCATCGTGAAGTATGCAAGTTGTGCCCAAGTCACGACCCCGCTGACATGGACCATTGCGTCACCCCCATCTGATTGGTCGAAATGCACAGAGATATCGGTGTTCTGTGTCAATATGCATGGATTGTCGGAAGGAAAAACTGTATATGCTATATATCGTTCATTATTATTAGAATCACACATCGCAATCTATTAACTTGAAAATTTCTCAGAACTTGAAAACTCCTACTTTAAAAAGTACTATAGAACAACTGAACAGAATGGAGTCAGCTAGGCGTCCATGCAATTAGGCTGTGCTTCCAATAAATGCCCAGGTACAAGCACAAGTGATATTGTTACAGGAGCCACACTGTAACTACACAGCAAAACAACAACTTTTAACAAAGAACCTAATAAGTCATTCAAAGGCAGATCCAGGGCTGCATACATCTGTGTAGACAAACATCTGTCTGTCAGCATGGTTTACATACTGACTGAGCAGCTCAGAAAGTCATTTGTTTTTTCAGTGAGGAACAATTATCTGAGGAAGCTTTTCTCTAGGGACACATCATTTATATTTATGCAATATTAATTTGACAAACAGATATTTTGCCCTGTGGACCCTGTTCAGGGTTTGTTCAGAAGACTGGCTCTCAGTGATGCTCATGGGATGAAGTTCTCAGTCCCAGTTTAATTCAGTTCAATTTATTCATATGTAGCCCCATTAACAACAGAGGCGCCCCAAGGCACTTTACATGGGTGTGGTGTGATACATTCCTGCCTCATTTATACAGAATAATTCAAAAACAGGGAAAAAGGAAGACAAAGAAATGAAAGAAAGGAAGCCAGGTGACAACGGAGGAGAGGAACCAAAAACTCCCAAGTGGGGAGAAAGAAAACCTCTGGGGGTCCAAGGTCACACAGCTGCCCCCCCCCCACTAACATTATTGAGAAATGAGTGGGGCTGTTTGCTAAGAGCAAGGTGAGAGCCATGGACACACAAAGCCAAAGTCCATCGATCAGACGGCTCTCAATGCCAGCCTGTGTGGGTGGCAGATTGAAAGCTGTGCCCACGATGGTGCAGTTCATGCATCACATCCATGATGTCACCCCTCCGTGGGACTGAAGCAGGACTCCAGCCCAGTGGAGCCTCCTGCCCCGGCTAGGGGGTGCTGAGTGGTCTAGCTCAGTGTTTCCCAACCCGGTCCTCGGGTGTCCCCTGGCCTGTGAGATCAGCTTGCCAGCACCTATAATAATAATAATAATAATAATAATAATAATAATAATTATTATTATTATTATAATAATAATAATAATAACAACCCACAACAACATAGATAATGCCTCCTGATCCCTCATATACTGAACTTACTTAAGCCAGCTTTTACATACATGTAAGCATATATATTATTGTAACAATATCACACATCACTGTATATGGCACATTACTGTATATTGCACATCATCACATGTTGCACATCACTGTATATTGCACATTATTGTATATTGCACATCGTCGTGTGTTGCAAATCACTGTATATTGCACATTATTGTATATTGTACAATGTGTACTTTTTCTTAAATTGTATGTCCTTTGCACATTTTCTTGTTTAGTTTTTTATTGCACTCCATTTATGTTTACACTGTGGTCCTTGAGCTTTGCCATTTTGACTCTCTGTATACTTGTATAATGTGGAGATGACAATAAAATGACTTTGACACTCTGAATGCCAATCTCTGTTCAACATGCCAGGCGACTAATTAGCCTTTGCACAAGACAACCCCATGTCCCCTCCAGAACTGTTACAACGCCCATTTATCGTGGGCGTTTTTAAGCCCTGCACAGAGCCGGTTCAGCGGTCAGACTCTGACGGGGATGACCATGCCAGAGGAACTGGGCCATCGTGGTGACCTTGAGATCTCAGCCTAGAGCTGACTCTCTAGCCAAGGTCAGCGAGCCCAGAGCCCACCAAGGCCAGGCTGTCCACCTCCAGGAGTGGAGGCCTTACCTACTGAAGTCTGCAACACAACCCATGAGTCCCTCCATAGTACCAGCTAATTACATTAATATTTAATCGCTCCCTACTATACCGCACTAGGCATGTCCACAAATTGCTGGGATTATGCCGTGTATAAAAACATTGTGTTTAGTTTCAGATACAGCACTGCTGGATGGCAGCACTGAGATCAGTGGTCTGTAACTGAAAGTCTGCCAATATTTTAACAAACCGTGATGAATTAAGCAAAACCCTGTCAGTTAACGTCGTCCAGGGCGGGGGGTGGATGGACTTATCTGCAGGCCCTCGGAGGACATCATCACGGACACTCAGCTGTTGCTCATTTAACTCACAGTTCCATTTTTCCCGAGGAGGAAAGCTCAGGGCAGCCTGTGCATCTCATGACAGACGCTCTCATAACACCAGCGGCGCATTAAGTGACAAACCAGAAATGAGAAAGGACCGGTGTCACGTGTTTTGTGGGCCCGGTTTGCCTTTTCTGGCGGCCCACGGTGGCCGACATGATGAGGGAGCGTGGGGAAGTCAGACATCGATTCATGAAACACGTCTAGACGCAGCGATCGGTTAGCAGTCAGCCAGATGCGGGCTGCGTTGCCATTTAAGGAGCACCATTATTACCACTGGGGCAGCTGCATGGCGGCTAGGTAGGAGAAGGCCTCGAATCGGTGCCATTCTGGCTGATCCTTGTGTTGGGGGGGGCACACACACTGCTTGCAGGACCTCAAAGCCTCTTTTTCGATGAGGCAGGTAACAATGCCTGGGACTGCCAGTGCCAGTGCAATGTTTGGGGGGGGCTCTTATTCCCCCCCCCCCCCCCCAGACTCCCCCGTATGACAGGCCTGACATTTAGAACTAGGTCCTGATTAAGTGCCTGGTACACATCCCCTTCATAATACACTAACACAGAGTTATTACCAGGGAAGGGCCTCCCTGTCTACATGGAATGGTTGTACCTTAAGTATATATTATCTGTGCTTGGATCTACAGAACAACAGGGTCGGGTTCTAATCCACTTTGGTCCGAGAGGAGCAACACAGGCGGTGTCGTCTTTCTGCACCCCTGCACCGGTCCGATGACATTCAGCGGCAGAACGTACTAATTAATGAAACGGCGGCGTGTGGAGGCTCTGTGTTTCAGATCAGACCCGGAGGGGAAGGGAACTGAACACGCTCTGCATGCAAGGTTCTTCTCCCCGGTCTTAATATGCTGTGTTCCAGACTTTACTCACTTCATTGAGTTCCTAAGCTGACGTTTCTACAAGAAGCAGCAAATTTACCCGTTTATACACCTGAATATCATACAGCTACAACAGCAGGGTCTCACCCTAAGTTTACAGGCCCATATCTGTAACCATGCATCATATTGCATGCGGCTTTCTATAATATATTTCTATTTTTAGCATTTTTTTTTTTTTTTTTACCTTTTCAAACCTTTGCTCTTGATTCAGTTGCTAACATTACATGCATCCACATATTACTGTGCTGATGAAACCTCCAGTCTGATTAAGCAGGAATTCATGATTTTATCTACTGAGGCAAAAGCTAGTAAGATCGAAGACAAAGCAGAGAAATAATACTGCAAACGGCTGCTCTTATGAAGCAGACACGGGTTCGAAGGCCCGCGAGACACAGGAGATCTCCCACCAATGAGAGGACACTTAGTCTGTGCTATATCACTTATCATCAGAGAGATGCAGCCTACCCACAATTCCTGGCAACTGCCACGTTTGCACCCCCACCCCCACTTCGCGAACACCACCAAAAAAAAAGAGCCCTTAATCAGCTTGATGATGGGGGAGGTGCTTTTCACGACAAAATTCAGTAAGTGATGAGCATGCGGATCAGGTGTCCCCCCCCCCAACACTTCTACCGGCGTCTGAAGGTTATCTGAGAGCACGGAGCCAAAGCCAGCTGGTGTCAGCCAGCGACAGCGTTGACGATCGCTCCCTTCTGCTCGGGGAGGAACATCAAGGCAAGGGAAAGGGAATCGCTTGCTAGCCGCAGGAAGAGGAGGGAGAAATCTGCAAGTCATGGGGGGGAGGGATGCAGAGGGGGCGGGGTGGGGGGATGGCACTCGGCCTCAGTGGAATCACAAGGCTGATCCGACCACGGCAAGATGAAGGAGTCTCTGCCAGTCTGCAGCGGCCACCCTGTGGCGAGATCCTCTCCCACATCGTTTTGTGCTGGATTCAATGCTGATGAAAGGGCCGCCATTGTGGTATTAAGGCCTCACCACAGCACCTTGGTAGGTGCAAGACATCGATCCACGTCACACTTTCTGCTGACATTTAATTTGATTAATTAATGCCACAGAGGAAGACATTTAAAAACAGAGATCGTGCAGGACGCTGCTCCACATACAAAAACGCCCTTCGAGTCAGATCTCCCAAACATGGAGACCCGCTGCACAACGACAGGCTCAGCCAAGCGACTCAGACCCAAAGCTCAGCAATGACTCATCAGAGTGCCTGACACGGACCATCCTGTAGGGGGTGCCGCACTTTCCCAACAGGCATGTATGTCGCTCTGATAATTACCACCATTCTCACTATCAACCCATCAAATAAGTTCTTTCAACAGAAAAAAAAAATTGATACACAAGCACAATTTTAAAACCACAAATAATAATTTGCAGACATCTCCAGTTGAATGTTTTCAAATCCATATGAGAAAGTAAAGATTAATTAATTCCAGTGAAACTGCAGGAAGGCCCCAGCTGCAGACAATCCCAGCGTAACCGTCCAATCACTGTGTTGCTTTATTATCAGACTGTATGTAACTGGTTGAGGTCACTATTATGCAAATTTATGATGTGGTTCTTGTTATAGATGTATCCACCCCCTTTGGCACTTGAAAGTTTGGCAGAGAAATCTGTGGTCTGTTTGGACTGTTGTGAACGAAAAACGTGCAGTCTGTGACACCTAGGGTGTGACTCGTGAGATCGTGTGTGTGCAGCTAATGAACCGCACGTCTTCTCATGTATTCACACAAGCACACTTGCATAGTTAATAAGTATCTCTTTGTGCATAATAAAAACCAGTTGCAAATAGACACCACCTGCTTGTTTTGATCGTGCAGCGATTGTCACAACAACACTAGTGCCTGAATTCCAGCTGGCAGATTCGGAATTCCCCACATCACTAAGCATGGGATAGGCACAGCCCCTGCCCCTGCCCCTTAGCCGGCCACTCGGTACAGGATAGGCACAGCCACAGCCCCTGCCCCTTAGCCGGCCACTCGGCGCAGGATAGGCACAGCCACAGCCCCTGCCCCTTAGCCGGCCACACGGCACAGGATAGGCACAGCCCCAGCCCCTGCCTCCGCTACCAAACCCCCCAGCACAGGACGCATCCGCCATCCGAGAGGCAGAGATTCCAGAGCTGTTTTGTTTGTCCTCATTCAACCTTTGAACATGGTAACAGCTACTGATGTGGCTCAACTGAGATGTCGCAGTGTGAGTGGCTGGTGCTGGAGGGGTACATCCCAGAACAAGAAACAGGCCTGGAAAAGCTACCAAAAAACACCGAATACCCACAGGGTGTCGGGAAGTGGGAACATAACGGGGGAATGGGGCACACTGAATACCCCAGAAAGCGGCACCAGGACAGCTCGACTTAGAGCAGATTGCTGGATGTCCGCTAAACACACCGCACAGATTCGACAGGGAGAGGACGCTCTTGGGTAATGGCAGGTTGGCGGATAAATCTGTGTCTAATTAGGACAATTTCTGCCTCACAAGATAACGTACTTTAGATATGCAAATCGGGTGCATGTATCACTTGCTATGTATTGAAAGGCCTAAAAAAGACATGATTCATGTAAAACCCTCTTTGAAGTGTTTTTTCTTTATCCACAAACCCAACAGCCTATTGCGAGTCCCCAAGGATGCTGGGTGGCGATTATCATCCACATCACATCTAAATGGAGGATGTTTCCTATAAGAGACTGGTGATCAGTTAGCGCCCTACGAGGTGCACTAGGTGGCAGCGAGGAGACGGAGAGGAGGCAGAGTGTCCTGCAGAGAAATGGGGGCAGCGCTGCCTTAGCCAGAGGAATTATAAAACCGGGGGGGGTTGTGGGGGGGGAAAGAGAACCTGCTGCAATCCTGCACTGGGGCCAAATGCGAGGCACGCAAGTGGGTTTGCCGTTCCGGAATACAGAAACAGCAACAGATCCATCAGCGAGGAGGGAATGTGGCCCAAAACAGGAGCTGCTGGAGACCAGAAAAGG